AATTGGAACGCATTAAACCATGTTTAATGCGTTCCAATTGTTTTTTTCTTACCGCTCAGCGATGTTTCACACAGCGAGGGTTAATCAGGGACGGATTAACCTCACTGTGCGAGGCACCACTGTAGTATTTATCTCGTATACCAGGCTGGTTGTGGTTGATTTTACTGCGACAAAGTTATAGAAAGAAATAAAGGAGCTATATTTTATTAAGACAATAATGACACATAACGATTAATCAGAACACATACAGTTTAGGTAAGGGTGCAGTTACAGTATTGAAATTGATTAAGAGCTGGATTGGGGTACTTGAAGTTGGTTTAAAGTCACGTAATCATGTGGCCGTTGTGTCAGTATAAGCATAGTAATAGGACAATTTGTAATCCAGTTTTAAGCTGTGTAGGAGACTACATGGGATTTCAAATCACTGTCTGTGTATGGGGGAAGTTCTATATAAATGTGACTGGATTGGATTAAAAATAAACAATCCCTGTCAAGGTGTTTTTAAAAAACCCTCTTGCTGGCTAAAACTATTTGTGCTTTGCTGTAGATTGTGTAGTTGGAGATTTGCAAATTGATTTCAAGGGGGCTAAATCTGTTGGAAATATAGGAGTATTTTGAAGTGTAACTATGCCCTAAGTCAGGGGTGGGCAATTAATTTCTATAAGGGGGCCACATGAAAAATCTGAACTATGTTTGGGGGCTGAACCAACTTTACTTAAAAATAAAATGAAACAGTGATGTTATGATTTTTGTTTATTTTAGACTTGTTAATCTTCACAAATACTAAAGAGTTTTTTTTGCGGTATGTTAAAGATAAGCAACTGAGCAACTTTAGACAAAGAGCTATACATGGTTTTGATGTTCAAAACTGTGTGCGTGCCGGACAGGAGTGGCTCGCGGGCCGTATGTGGCCCTTGGGCCGCACTTTGCCCAGGTCTGCGGCCTAAGTAATGATTCAGAGGGTTCATCAGAGAGGCATTACATTTATTTAGAAATGAGTTCTGCTTTGTTCATTGATGCTAAATACAGCTAAGGACAACATTATTAACCAGCTGGAGGGCAGGAGCCTGACCCTCTTAAAGATTAGTTATGTATGTGTAGAGGGCATATATCTCTGTTTATAAAGTCCCTTTTCCTTTTGCTCTAGGTGTACATCCTTGACTCTTGGACCCAGCTGTGATCGCTTTAAACTGCATATTCCATATGCTGGAGAAACACTAAAATGTAAGTGCTTGAACTTTAGAATCCTTTTCTAACATTCTTGTCTGCATAATTTGGGATCTGAGACTAGGCCAATGATGACTGGTAAAACAGTCTTCTCTTTCAGCAATTCCAGCTGTAGAATGCAACTGGGAGACTTGCCTGATTTTCGAATATTTGATTATTCTAGCACCAAGTAAATATCTTATTTACTTGCTTTGTGTTTGTATGTTTTAAAATTAATGTCCATAATCTTGCTGGTAATTCAAAAAATGTAAGATAAATGTGTAATTCACCACAACAAATTGCCACTACCTAGTGGTAGTTGCATTACAAGGTAGACTTCTAGCAAAGCAAAGCAAAGCAACCTTTATCTAGTTGCATTACAAGGTAGACTTCTATATAGTCAAGTGTGTGTCTTATAACATGACCAATGTTTTAGTTTTTGGCTGTTCTCCATAATGAGTTACCCAGTTTAACTTATGCACATGTGAATCACCAACAGGATACTGGCAGATATTATGTCTTTTTTAGTAGTTGTGGTTGTGGCGTTCAGCTCTGCTCTCACCTGTCCGTCACAGCTGGGCAGGGAAACCTCAGCCAATGAGAGGACGGAGGGTGGTGCAGAAGTGGGAGGAGCTGGGCTATATAAGGTGTGTGTGATGTGTGAGAGAGATCAGATCAGATGGAGTTTGGAAGATGAGTGATTAGAGAGATTGTTAGAGAGTGAGAAAGAGCCTGTCAGTGAGGGAAAAATCTGTGTGAGCTAGTGTCTGAGAAACAGTGATTGACTAATTGATTTTATACCTGTAATTTACCCTTTTTATTTTTGTACAGTCAATAAACACTTTATTTGTTTTGAAAGAAACACTTGTCCTTTTTGATTTTAAGGATAGGTTGGTGGCAGCAGTTTTGGTGGGAGGTAGTGAGCACTCTTATAGGCCTGGATTGAAAGAGGCTTGAGAGTGGCCTGCTACAGTGGTTTTTTAAAAAAATCATTTTCTGTTTTTAGTAATGCGGCATTGCTAATGTACTGATTGTCTGAAAAGGTATTTTTCAAAGAAGTATGTATTTTAGCCTGACTCAGCATGGAAAGACAATTGAAGGGGGGGAGGAGAAACCAGAGTAAGAGAGGCAAACTGTTGTTGCATTTTAAAGACTATTTATGAATGCTTTTTTTGTAGATCGAAATCTGTTTCACTTTTTGAAGAATCTACTTCTTTCACTTTTTTTCTGAAGAAGTGGTTTTTGATATACAAAAGTCCACACACAAATCTAAGAGTCTCATTAGTCTTTGTCCTCTTTTTTCTTTTCTCCCACCCCTTGATTTTGTCAACGACCAAAAAGTTATTGGAAGAGTCACTGGAAGTTGTAGCTTTTAGGGCCTGATGGGTGAGGTTACAAAAAAATTCCAATAGTAATGCATTCCATTCTTGTATTTAACCTTTTAGAGGAGGGATCCACTCTGAGCAACAAAGAAGGAATCAAATAAAAGTTAGAACCAAAATAATACAAAAACAAGACAGTGATGCCAATACTTCATACTGTAGCTTCTGCTGCATTTTGAAAAAAAATCTGTGGTGAGACATTCTCTCTTACATCCCTGATAATTTCTAGAGTCTCTTGATGCATACTCCTTCATTTTAAGCATAGGAAAGTGTTGAATACAGTGGTGCCTCGCATTACGATGTTAATTCGTTCCAGCGAAATCGCTGTAGAACGAAAACGTAATGCGAAATAGGAAAGCCCATAGAAATGCATTAAAACCCTATTAATGCTTTCCTATGGACTTGAAACTCACTGTCCAGCGATGATGTAGCTCTGTATACAGTATTGTCTTTTTAATTATATGAGCCACCTTGGGTCCTTTAGAGGAGAAAGGTGGGACAAAAATATTTTAAATAAATAATATTTCCTCCCCTTTTCCGTATCTATAGCAAAACCTGCCTTCTGTCTGGGTCCAGTGGGAACTCTCTTTAAAAACAGATTTTAGTTCTGTTTTAAAAGAGCTCAAGTCTTTTTGAATGCTTGTGAATGCTTTTTGTAGCCAGAATTTTTTTCTTATGTTGATTGTAATGTTTTCTTACAATGTGTCCAATCTGTCCTTTGGCAAATTGCAGGGATTCTGTTGCTCTTATAGACAGACATCAATCTAAAGCTGACAGTAAATTAAGAAAGCTTTTGAAAGGCAGTGCAGGAAAGGAAGTGGGAAGTGGTCAGTGAATCAACCCCTTAACTACAATGCTAACCAGTTAAATCAGTGGTTGGAATGTTCAATTCACTGGAGTTAAGATGGCATCTTACATGTTGTGGAAGAATTTGGTTTTGTGGGCTACCACTTCTAGAGTTCATCCTGTTGCTTGTATGTGATTTGTTATAGTACATGGAGATCTTTGCAGAACAAGCAAAATACCTGGAAACAAAAACAAAGCAAAGTGTGCTGCTTGTATACTGCCCTAAAGCATTCTGTGTGCTTTACAATTAATTATGCAGGTTACAAATCCCCCCCCCATGAGCTGGGTACTCAGTTTAGAAGGATGGATGGCTCAGTCAACCTGGAACTGGCTACCTGAGCCCGTCATGATTGAACTCAGATAATGAGCAGAGTCTTGACTTCAGTTTAACCGCTATGCCACGAGGCTCCTAACACACAAAGATCGTATATTTTATACCTTGTACTGTATCTCTTTCTATAGACTAAAGTTGAAAAATAGTTAAATATGTTCATTATTTCTCAAGAAGATGATTTCTAGGTGACCTGTGTTGGTACACAAATGTCATATTTTGACGTATCCGTAGAAGGTTAATCTGCAGAGATGTGACACTCATTTAATCCAAACACAAGCATAAGGTAGGATCTGATTATGCATTAGTCCATGTTTCTAGTGGACTATCTATTAAATTAGACCTTCTTCCATGAAACGTCATTATCAAGCAAAATCAAACAAGCACCGTATTCATACTCAAGGCAAACCTTGATCAGAGAAGGTCCTTCACTGTGTATTATCTTTTTCAAATTTATCTGTAAAAGTAGCATATTCTGTTTGGGAAAATAATTTAGATTAGCTTCATTGTTAGTGATGTGTTTAGTGTTTGTCTTTTAATCTTGGAAAAAGGACTCTTACTATTTCTTCATAGAGGTTTTGATTCCTAGTTATTGAAACATTCCCAACACCTGGGAAGACTATAAACTAATTTTTATATTTGGTTGCAGAAATTAGGATTTGATTTCTGAATTGTCAGTAAAGGCATTTGGAAAGCAAGTAGTATATGAATTTTGTGTTGCATAAAAGTCCACATCTTTTTGTAAGTGTATGGTGTGTAGCATATGTTATAATGTTTAGTTGTTGAGATTGCTTATCCTTATGAGAGCGTTTTGTTAGCTTCATGGTTAGTAAAATCAGATGCTTTTATGAATGGTAGTGGGAACTTTATAAAATCTGACATTCATTCATTCAACTTATATACTACCCATATGCGCAATGGATTCTTCCAAGCAAAACAAAGATTTTTCTTCAGTAATGGGCAGCTGAAATATAGGTCACATCGTGCTATGTATTTTGGCATACATAATATAAAAAGTTGAAAGATTGAACTACTGAATAGCTCAGTGGTTTACGTCTCTGGCTGTGGAGCGAGAGGTTTGGAGTTTGATTCCCCACTGTGCCTCCCTGACAGGGGCTGGACTCAATGATCCATAGGGTCCCTTCCAGCTCTGCAGTTCTGTGATGATTGATTGATTAAATATTTGTTTCAAGGTCATAAAACATGTATTAAATCTAAACTGACAGTGGAAGTCTAGCATCAAAAGTAGGATGTTAATGTTTATTGCAGTACTAAACTCTGTTTTCATGGTGACTGGACTGTAAAATGGAGATGAAGGATTGAACATGACTTGAACTTCAGTTTTTCATTCAGAGTATATATGAATTCCTGAGATACATGCTGTAGGGCATGTTGCTGTAGTTATGTGCACACTTAGAGTGAATTCCATTGAACTCAATATAAGTGACTTCTGAGAAGAGAAGATAAGCAATATACCTCCCAGTTTCTTGCTTTCTTACACAGCACTTTATTAAATTTGCAGTCACATTCAAGTTTTGAATTCAAAATACTTTTACCAGATTGCTAAATGTACGTGTGTCACAAAGTGTCACGGCAGGACAGTAGATAAACAAAGTACTGTAGGTCAGAAAGTGTTGTAGAAATCACAAATGCATGTCATGTGAGGCATCCATAAAGGATTTGAATATTTTAATAATTCAGTGTATATATAACAGAATAAGCACTTTTAAAAAAACATATTAAACATCTTATAGAAGAAGTTAAGACTGTGGAGCGAGAGGTTTGGAGTTTGATTCCCCACTGTGCCTCCCTGACAGGGGCTGGACTCAATGATCCATAGGGTCCCTTCCAGCTCTGCAGTTCTGTGATGATTGATTGATTAAATATTTGTTTCAAGGTCATAAAACATGTATTAAATCTAAACTGACAGTGGAAGTCTAGCATCAAAAGTAGGATGTTAATGTTTATTGCAGTACTAAACTCTGTTTTCATGGTGACTGGACTGTAAAATGGAGATGAAGGATTGAACATGACTTGAACTTCAGTTTTTCATTCAGAGTATATATGAATTCCTGAGATACATGCTGTAGGGCATGTTGCTGTAGTTATGTGCACACTTAGAGTGAATTCCATTGAACTCAATATAAGTGACTTCTGAGAAGAGAAGATAAGCAATATACCTCCCAGTTTCTTGCTTTCTTACACAGCACTTTATTAAATTTGCAGTCACATTCAAGTTTTGAATTCAAAATACTTTTACCAGATTGCTAAATGTACGTGTGTCACAAAGTGTCACGGCAGGACAGTAGATAAACAAAGTACTGTAGGTCAGAAAGTGTTGTAGAAATCACAAATGCATGTCATGTGAGGCATCCATAAAGGATTTGAATATTTTAATAATTCAGTGTATATATAACAGAATAAGCACTTTTTAAAAAACATATTAAACATCTTATAGA